TGGGTATGTAAGTAAATGTTCTTAATCATTTGAGATACAAAGTCCCGCAGTACTATTAGTTTTTTCTTCTTCATGTAAATATGTAATGCTTCAATGTGCTAAGCCTAATTTACGTGATATTATGTTAGTATTTAAGAAGTTGTTTGAAAGTTTGTTTAGACCAGAAACACTACAGCACAACCCATTATTAAGTTAATATGACACTATATATAAAAAAAATAAAGTTAATACAATGCTAACAAAGTGTTGGGGTCACTTAACAATATCATTAAAATGATCTAAATCGTTATGTTTTAAGTCGTGAATCAAATATCATCCTTACAAATAGTTAGCCAAGTTTGAAAACATTCATCACTGATAATTGTGGTAAAAAGAAATTAGACGAACACAATACTTCTATAAACAATAAAAAAATTCAAGATAATAATTAAATGAAGAAACGATTTTTGATGTGGCTAATTTTTTTCTTATTTGCCTACAAACCGGGTTAAGCATAGAGCCATTGAATTTATGTCTCCAATTTAATGATTCTGGTCCACTCCCATCAACTTGATAGTAAATTAGTCTATACATTGTTTTCAAAGCGAATAGACCATTCTCTCCGCTAAACTCAAAGGAAATTTCCTTTCAAATGAAGACTAATGAAATTTCCAAGGAAGACTTTTAAGTCTAGTGAAGCAAGAATCCAAGTCTAAGCAGGCAACGTAGAGGAAGACTTTGACCATATACTTGTATGGTATATTTCCTCACCACAACACCAAGCACACGGAAAGAAAATCATGTCTGATTGTTCTCATCCTATTCCCAAAGAAAAAACAAACAAAGAAAGTGCAATGATAATTCAACAGTTGTTCAACAACAGGACTTCATGGAAGCAATTTGAGTCCCACATATATATTTAATGATAAAACATGTTACCTTTTATCTTTATTTAAATTATTTAAAACAAAATAAAAAACAAAAAAGTAAGAAAAGACTGATGGGGTTTCAATGGTGGTTGGACTTTTTGAGCTAACAAACTTTAATATCAAAGAGCCACCTAGGTTACGCAACAGCACAAGACTCCTAACATCCGTGTAGTGTGTGTGTGAGTTTAGTACTATCACCCCGTGAATAGAAAAAGTCCTTAAAAAAAAAAAAAAACTCAGGAAAAGAAGTGTTATGAGAAAATGTGAAATTTTAATGCTCCAGTAATTCGGTTAAAAATAACTTTTGGCCTTCTAATGTAGCTTGGAGTAAAAGATACCCCATTCAATTGCATTGAAAACTATAACTTTCAAGGAAAAAAAATGCTAGACAAATAAATACATTGAAGAGGGAGAGAGAGAGTTCAATTATTGATGTAAAGTGGATCATATGGCCTTCTATCATTGGGCCGTGTTGAGCTTTTATGATTTAAGCATTTCTTTAGGCTAATTTGGGTTGGGTATGAGTTTTGGTACTTCGGCCCACACAGACAGAGCCATTAAGGCTTGAACTTGTCTGGTAGAATTTAGTTGGGCTGGTTTGGGCTACATTGCGTTAGTTGGTTATTAAATTCTATGAATCCACTTTACGAGTAGTTGGTTAGAACATCTGGGCTTGCCGATGCTAACGGATTTGAAAATGGATGGGATATGTGTTCAAAAATCAAAAGATATTTTTAGGATCAATGATCTAATAATAGAGATGTGTATGGAATGAGAGTGTAAGTTTTAGTTTTAATAGCAATGTCTTCAATCTTTTAGCCCAAATTCAGAAGAGATTATACCACTCTACCATATTCCTATAGGGCTGAAGGTTGGTTTCGATTATTGATGGGACAGGCAAATATAGTAGCTCTGTCCGCAAAACTGAAACTCAACAAGGTTTAAGAAGAAAACAGAGGATAGGGGAAGCATGTATAAATGCCATAAAGGGCAGGATACAAGCTGAGTTGCCGGCTTTCGCCGTTGCCGTTGATGCAAACTTTCCTCTCACTCTATATGCCTTTGCTTTGGTCTCAACACCTTCTTTTTTTTGGTCAAAATCTCAACACCTTATTTTACATTGTTCGTATTTTTCATTCTCATTATTGCTAGAAAGACCTTACATTGCATTCCTAATTGGCTGGCATTTTCTCAAACAATGTCTATCCTGTTCTTTGCACATCAACATAGCTACCAATAACCAAAGGCAGAGGCTAATTATTTGCTTAACTCAATTACATGTAAATTAAAAATATTTGTGGTATGATCAAATACGAAAAACATGTTTAACTGGCCCTTAAGTAGAGTTGTTAAATTTACCTACATACATTCACATCGTGACTAATATTAAATCACTTAATTCGAATCTGCAACCAAACTAATCTCTTCCGTGTTTTAAGTCCGTCACCCAAACAAGAAACTTTACAAATTCTAGAACATTAATTTCCCTCATTTATGAAATTCTTTGTACTTATAAATTTCATCATCCAAACGCATTGTAAGTGTCACATCATATATGCTCAAGATATTTTCAGCAATTATTGGCTGAGAGGGGAGAGAGGGAGGTTATCAGGTGGAAATATCGTTGGCGGTTTTGGAAATTTTTTTTTCTCCTTATGTTATTTTTAAAGAGTTATAAGATTGATTGATTGGATGTAATGGGAATCTGCCAGAGAACAAAAAAACAAAAACAAAAAAAGACAAGAAAAAGAAAAAGAACATTTAAATTCTAATCAGCAATAATTGATTGATGTGTTATCAGATTGGTTAAATCGTATATATCACTACAAGAAAAACAGGTATTAGTGGCCACCCACTTGGTCACAGAAACTACCCTTTTTGGTCACTGAATGCAATTTTGGTCACTGAATGCAAACAGTGTCCAAATATTGGTGATCACTGGGTGATCACTAGAAGCTCTTCACAAATTCTACTTAGTGGCCAATGTCAACTTTGGTCACTAAAGGGCTTACAATTTGGTCACCAAAACATGCCTTTTGGTCACTGAAACTAGGTCACGTGCCCACATTAGTGACCTACTTGCTTGGTCACTAATGTATTTCAAAAAATTGGTAACTAATTAGGTTTACCTCTCCATGTTCTTTATTTATTATATTCAATATGAAATCACAATTAATTTCTTTTAGACAGTGCTGTAGATAAAGTTTATAGCATCACATAATTCATTGTATTCAAACGCAATCCATATATCTAACATTCTTCCAACAAATTCACAAGATGTCTCAAAAACAAAATGCTAGATATTTAAGTTCAACCTAAATGTCAATTGATTCCCAAAAACAAAGACCATAAGATTCATCACTACTAGATTGTCTTCTGTCCTTTGTCCTTTGATATACTAGAAATTTATCCATCAGACCTGCATCAAACAAAGAATAATTATTTACAAAAAGATAATTTCAAATGAAAAACAAGATTTTTAGACTATCAACAAAGAAAACAAAAAAATAAAGGAAAAAACAAAACAGCAAAGTGAAAGACAAACTAATAATAATGGATCATCATCTTAACAAATAAAAAGAGAGAATCATCATCTTAACAAATAGAAAGAGAGGACCATTAAACAAAAAGAAAAATTCATGGTGAGACAGAGAGAGAGATAGAACAGCTGAAAGTTAATATTGAAGATAAAGTCAAGAAAAAAAATAGAAGAATAAAAAAATACCTGGAAACTTCAACCATGCTGATATACTAGAAGAAACTTATCCATCAGACCTGCACCAAACAAAGAATAATTATTTACAACAATATTTACACTAAACTCTTCTCTATTGTCTACCATACACATATTTCAGCCAAACATGCATATCAAATAACTAACCTGCACTACAAGTGTGCATCTTGGATCAGCTAACAGATTCCGTGTATGGATGGCCAATGGTGAAAACGAAAATATAGGACCTGCATACCATCAAGAGAATAAATATAGGATCAGCTAATGGAATGATCAGTTAATACTGATTCTTTCATAAGAGAATAAAAAATAAAGAATTTTTTTTTTATATACAATCGTTATATTCATGAAACACAAACTGATATAGAAATAATGACTGAAACCACCCATGTGCAGATGCAGAGCAAATGAAATTTAGATTAAAGAATTGTACAATAATTGAAAATTTCATGAAACTCAAAACTTAAATCAGAGCTGTACATCAAATCCAAGATAATTAAGACTTCAGTTAAGCATAAAAATAAACTGATGAACAAAGAGCAAACAATACTTGTTCTTCCATCATGGAACCAGATATGGACCCTATTGCCCAGCATAAGGTGTTTAAGTTGTTCCAATGCTCAAGGTGTGACAAATATTGTCTCCCTCATGATCTACAAGATCAAAATGACACCAATAACAAAAAATAAGTATGAAAACATTCAAGAAAGAAAATAACAAATAATCCAATACTTTTTCTACTATTACGAAAGAAGCATATCATAGAAAGTGAGTTTCCGGTAAGAATAAAATAAATTTAAAAAGCTTCTGTAGATAGTATTTTCAAAAGTCTTCTGAACTTAATTTCTAACAAGAAAGTTGCCCAATACCATATCTAACCTCATACACAGAAAATCCACTTTTTTAAACAAAACTAAAGAAGCATTACATGGCTAATGTGATTGTCCACATGAATGAGCAAGAGTGATATGGACACAATGCTTAGAAACCTACTGTCTCAAAATTTGTTGGGAAAAGATTTGAATGTTATTGATAGGAAAATGGTAAAGGTTCCAATGGTTACTGAAAATCTCCCTAAAATTTCAAAAAAAATTTAAGACACCTACCTAATTCAGACTTGTTGAGTCTCTTTCAATATGTAAGGTTTGCAAGTTCTGAGATGATAAATTGGTCTTTTCCAAGATAGACAAAACCTTCTCGTTGATGGAAACCTAGAAAAGACTTACCTATCTACTACCAATTTCAAACCATACATCTTTATTCAACTACGAAGAGATTAAAAGATAACCTACGGTCAATATAGACTAAAGAAAAACAGGGGGATTCAAGTAAAACTAGAGGATGCATTCATACAAAGTAGAAAACAGAAAACTCAAACCAACAAAAATTTCAAAGATAAAAGTATCTGAATTACCTGCAGCCCCACCATATTTGCAGCTGCTGCAGGATTATCCAAATTATGATGCAACTCAAACAGTCCCAAAACCAAGGAATTCTAATATTCTAAGCAAACCTGCTCGAACAAACAACCAATTCCAAGTCAAATTATCACTTCATTATTCGAAATCGAACTCCATCATTCTCTCAATTTTGGAAACCCTAACCCGCCCTTCCATTGCTTAGCTTTTGAAACCCCAAATCCACAGTCATCGAGTGAGAGAACAAAAAGAAAATACCTTAGAGGTCTTGAAATTCAATGGATTGTGAAATTCAACACAATATATAACAGTCTAATCAGGACATGCATTGTTTATATCAGAACATGTCCACTGCAAACTGAAATTCACAACAAGCAGTAGATTAAAAAAATGCAATAATCAGAACTAAAATCAAGCTCTGCCTGAGTACCAAAAGAAAACCTAGCTGATTTAAGGACACAAAGTTTTGCTTAAAGCCTTTATTTATCAAATCAAAACTAGAGAACTAGGGAATTAGGGAATAGAGAATCAGACTCAGAGTCACAATCGTACTCAAATCAAACTCAAGTGAAATCAAAACTAACATTGAAAGCAAAGAGAAATAGAAAGCTCACATGATATTGGGAAAAAACTTAGAAATCAAAACGACAGAGACGAAGAGGAAGACGCTCGTTGAAGAGACGGTATCGCTCTCTCTGGTTTCGCTGGTCTCGCTATGAGCTCGCTCGTCGAAGAAGACGATATCGCTGGTCTCGCTGGTCTTGCTCTGAGCGAGCTCGTCCTTTTTTTTTCTTTTAGATGCTTTCGCTCTTCTCGCACACGCGCGTTTTGAAAACAAAAATAAAGTTTAAAAAAAGTTAATTGGTCACTGATGTATTAAATAACATAAATAAGGCTAGCTTGGCATATGTGTTGGTCACTAACTTTATTATTTAAGTTGTTTTTAGTGCCTAATTTAAATATTGGTCAGAAAATTTAGTCATTAAAAATTAAAAAATATGTCTTAATCAATTTACTGACCATGTAGTATAATTGGTCATTAAATTCACTGTATTTGTGACCATTATTAATGTGGTCACAAGGAAATTGGTCACTATTGACCTTTTTTTTTGTAGTGTATGCAGCGCAAGTTTTATAGTTCATGTGACTAGGCGGTTCCTCTTTTTGGTCAAAATAATATAGCCGCGCGGCACGGCTTTACTATAACCATATTTTAGGAGAAAACAGTACACATTATTTGAAACATGGACTTATCAAACTCAATAACCATATCAATGAAAGGGCTCCTTTTTGTGCAAAGACTGAACAAAATTGAAATCTAACATTGCAAGTTTCAACAAAGCTTCATTGTGTGAAGCTTCATCTTGGTAGATTAACATTTTCCATCTACATTTGCAGACAATCACTGAAGACGATCTTATGGAGACAAAACTATGGCACGAATATCAGGGAAGCACACCCAGCTCCAGGTTCTTTGGCTTCTTGCTGTATCTTCCATTTGTTATTCACATCTATATCTACTAATTTCTCTTTAAACTCATTCTTCAAGAACTAAATGCAATGCAGCAGTCAGCTTGTTCAGGAAAGGTTTAGAAAACCACATAATATGGGAAATCGAGGCTTCCGGAACAATGCTAGATTCACTTCTAACTCTCCGAATATGATACACAAATTTTCTGGCACTGGATGTGGTTGTGGTAGAGGGAAAGCAATTGCAAGTCCTGATTTTGGAGACCGATTTCATGCTCCAGGAAGAATACCTTGTGAAAGAGTTGTTTGTCATGAAAAGTGGAGAGTTGCTGGTTCTGGTTCAGGAGATCAAATACGAACCCTTAGGGATTTGAAAATATCGAAGTCGTCATCAAGCCAGGGCTGGAGGCCTAATATGGAAGAGTTCAGTTAGCAAACAATGTTTTCTGGTCGTCTAGAAATGGCTTCACACCTGACACAAACCATGCTTGGCAACATGGTCAGTGTCGCGGTAGAGGCCATCAGGACTCCTCGAAGCATTATTCACCTTTCGCTACTAACCGTTCATCCCATCCCAAGCCAGTGTGAGTGCCCACTTTGTTCCACGTAGTTGGGATACTGAAGGTAAGCCCCGTTGGTAGCTAGTTAACATAGCTCTCTTTGCTTGGCTGCCAAAAGAGCAAGAAAAGCACTGTTTTGTACACATTCCATCTATTTTGTATTTTACGGCTGAAGGATGAAGAATTTTCGATCTGCTAGCTTTTCCTATGCTTCACAATTTCTGCAATTCCCTATTTTTGGTAATTAAGCAGGGCATTCTACTCAAGAATCAAATAATGTTGGGCTAAACGTATAAGATAAAAAGCTGCCGGCCGTTCTTGTATAAGAGACAACTGTAACAATTTTTGACAAGAAGATAAAAGTCCTTTATTCTTCAGTGCCGCTTCATCAGCACCTGCAATTCATTTACAGGTTGCTTGTTTTACCTAAGTTTCATTTCATCTTTTGAAGGTTCATAAAGATTCCCAATCCTAATATACCACACTCTAGACTCTAATCTAATGGCTCCGAATGACATTTCTCTCCTCTCTCATGCTAACCCATGTGTTTGGGCTCAAGAAATGGGCTTGAGTTTTGGGGCTCCCAAGCAGCCCAAAACTTCCATTTCTTGGCTCATCAATGGGCCCCATGAAAGCTTGTTACCATCCATACCACAACCCACTCAAGCAAGCCCCGGGCATTTGCGTGGCTTGGGCCCACTTAAACTTGTAACGTGGCTATGTGTAAAATAATGATTTCCTGCTTGGCATGGCATGTCAATTGGTGTGCTCGAATTTTATAGTCTTTGAAAGGAGACATAATGCTTGACAAAATAATTAGCATGAGCTTGTAGAGCCAATGCCTTTTATAGGCTCATTTTAATTCTTAGCGTGATAAATTGCATATTTATTTGGCATGGCACGTGATCGTGGCTCGTGCAAGCGTGCATGAAGAATTTCGCATGCTCCGCATCGGGTTTCTTCTTAATAAGGTGTCGCACTGTGCCGGGAATTTATTTGGGCCCAACCCTTGATTTTTTGGGCCTCAACAGTACGAAAAATGCAAACATTCGATGACTATTATATTTGTTTTAAGACCCTAAATATTACATAAAAATATTAATATATATCTTAAAATTTAACCCCTTTTTTTCTTTCTAATAATAAAATTTTAAAATATCTTTTTTTAAACTCAAACAATAGTCTAACCATTGGCTTCTTTTTGAAAAAATATAAATAAAAAACTCCCTAACAGCTTCAAATGCTAAAAAAGTACTATCATATAGTAAGCCGGTCCTTATTTATATTATTTTACAAGTTCTATTCCAACGTTACCCTTATAGCAAGGTCATCATCATCTTACCACGAAAACAATACACCCCCGAAGGACGCCATGTGGACGGCTTTTCAGCAAGGGTGGGTTACACGTGGCGTGGAGACCTTACAGATAAAGACCATGGCGGATCCACCATGGATTGATAACTCAATACGTAAATTTTAAATTATTACAAAATTATATTTTTCAGGTTTATAAGAGAACTAGCCTCTCCTCACACGCTTCCGCGCCTGCGAGAGGCTTTTTTTTAAAAAAAATTAAATTTATTTTAGAATTAAAAAAGATAATGGGTAGTTGTGTTCCATGCAAATAGAATCCATTATCTGATTTTTCTTTTAATTTATTTTTTTAATATGAAAAAGTAAAATTTACCATATTATTCTTATTTAATTAATAATTTCAATTCTTAATGTTTGCATTAACCAATGACATTTTATGGTATTTTGAATGTTTTACTATATAGATATGAGGAATCCTAGCAACCTTTTCTCTAACCTTCTCCCTTCTTTTCATGACAAGTGTCACTTTCCTTACACTTAAAATAATGTCATTAATGCATCACACAAGTTAGTTTTTGTTTTCCAAATTTACTCTTATTAAATATATTGGCTTTTATATTCTTTCAATTTATCCAAATTTTATTACAACTTCCTTAGCACGTTGTTAAAAATTAAATAAGAAAAAAACATAAGAAAAAACGCCATTTTTCTTTAAAATAATAAAGTTTGTTTCATGACATATATCATCTTTCTTTTTGGTTTAACAAAGCATATGTCCTCTTTGAAAATTTTTTTTTTTAAAAACTTCAAGTTTTTATTTCTTTTTAAATTTTTCAATAAGGTAGTAAGAAAGTTGTTCAAAAACAAGCTTGTTATTTAAAAACAAAAAATATTTAATAAAGGTAAACTTGGAAAATAAAAACTAATTTGTGTGATGCATTAATGACATTGTTTGAAGTGTACGCAAAATGACACTTTTCATGAGAAAAATGGAGAAAGTCCAAAAAAGAAGGTTAGATAAAAGGTTGCCATAGATACAAAAGGAATATTAGCAATATAACATTAAATCAATTTTGACGGTTATGTTTTATCAAATGGTGATTCGGCATCAAGTCTTGTTATTAGGAATGCACAAGGTCGTCTAATTCTGCCGTTCGCTCAGGGGACTAAGGATCGGACGTCTGTCATTGCGACTTTCTCGGCGGCGAATTCGTTCGTTGGCGCTCCGGTGGCGCACGGCATCGACGCGGACAGGGCGCGTGGGAGCGTGAGCTTCAACGTGAGGCTTTTGGCTAGGGTTGAGTTTTGGAGAGGTGGGTGGAGGCTGAGGCGGCGCTCTTGAGGGTTTTGTGCCGTGGCGTCTCTGCGGCGAATGCGTTCGTTGGCGCTTTGGTGGCGCTTCGGTGGCGCACAGCATCGACGCGGACAGGGCGCGTGGGAGCGTGAGCTTCAACGTGAGGCTTTTGGCTAGGTTTGAGTTTCGGAGAGGTGGGTGGAGGCTGAGGCGGAGGCTCTTGAGGGTTTTGTGCCGTGGCGTGGCGGTTTCTGTTTCGTCGAAAGGCGGGTTGGGTACTTTGGGCGGTGGGTCAAGAGATTGCCAAGTTGTTGTTTGAGATGGGGGCAATGCGTGTGGTGCAAATGGTAATTTTTTAAATCTCTCACTTTTCAATTGAAGTCTTTGAAATTGTGACAAGTTAGCCTGTTTGCGCTACGCATATGATTGTCCGTCGCGCGATGATCTTTTATGCGACGAAAGTTCTTCGTCGCTCTGCTTTGCGCTACGCAGATGATTATCCGTCGCGCGATGATCTTTTATACGACGATTTTGTCTTCGTCGCGCAAACTATCGTCGCGCAAATAGAAAAATGTAGTAGTGTGATTATTGTTTTTTTTTTTATAGAGGTCAAGTAGAGCTCATTTGCCTTTCATGGCTCTTGGTGTTTTTTGATGGAGGCTTGCTTAGAAAATGGATGGAGGCAACATTATTTAGTACAAACTAGAAAGAAACAGAGTAGTTGCTTAGAACATCTGTCTCATGCTCGTTTTGGCTTTGGTTATTAAACTCGTTGAATCCACCTTACGAGTGGTTGTTTAGAACATCTATAGGCTTTGCTGATCCTAGTGGATTTGGAAATGGATGGGATATATGTTCAAAAATCAAGAGCTTTTTTAAGGATTGAGGATGGGATCAATGATATAATAACAGAGCTTTTTTAAAAAGTTTTAACAGCAATGTCTTCTACTTCTGTGATGTGTGTTATCTATCTATGTCAAAGAGAAGATTATAGCACTCTACCACTTATCAGATTGGTTTAGTTGCGGTTTTTTCTTTTAATTAATTTGTTAATCAAGTTTGTCTGCCATATTCCTATGTTAAGAATTTAGAATTTTGTGAAACTTGCACTTCCCTTTGGAAGGTCTCCACGGTAGGCCCAAGGGGTATGGTATTTCCACATCGGAGTTGCATCAGATTTCAGCCCTGGAAATTAAGGAAGTTAGGGATTTGCACTAAGGTTTTTGAGTTTGAGTTTGAGTTTCACTTTGGTCCAAATCCAAGTCTGTAGCTTTGCTCTGGGTCTGTAAACTCTTACATATGGTTTAGTCATTGTCAGTAAAACTGGATTCTAATTCAGATATGGAGATTATTTGACGTATAGGGTCTTTTTTAATTTTGAACCCTTGATTCAAGCATAATAAGCCCACTCGATAACATATCCATATACAAATGAATTGTTTCTCTTGGGCAATTCATTTGTGTAAACCTAATTGTCATCAAAGTTCAAGTCATTGCATTTCTGGCAGGCAGTTTCTCAAACAATAACCAAAGGAAGAGGCTGATTATTTGCTTAAATCAATTACAACATGTAAACATATTTGTGCTATGATCAAATACAGAGTAGAGCTGCTAACTTTCCCTTACATAGATCCACATCATGACTAATATTAATTCACTTCATTTGCATCCGCAATCAAAGTAATCTCATCAGATTCTGAAGCACTTGATGCATAGGGACTTCGATTGTCCGCACCAACTTCATCTGCAAGAATTTGTTGTGGGTATAAGAAAGGCCTTGGAGGCATTTGGAGGCTCTCAATTTCTCCTTCAAGCATCTCCACTACTTTATTCATTGAAGGGCGTTCGATAGGCTTCATTTGTATGCACCACAA